ATGATGTATTCAAATGGCATGATCCTGAGATGTGTGCTAGATCAAAGAATATTATCCCTAGATTCATAAGAAGAAATGACCGTTTGAAGATGAATTGACTATCTATAAGGAAAAAAGATATATATGACAAATGAAGAAGATATGATGGCAAAGGAAAATAAGTCTTATAAAAGAAAAATAAAAAAAATGGAGAATTTAATTGCCCAGTACAACAATAGAATGAATATCTTGTAAGTTTTTTTGGTTCACTTAGGTTGTTGTCATTGTAATGATTAAAATTAGTGGTTAGAATTTTCAATAGTTAGTGGTTAAGCTGTAGTTGTTTGTATTAATAATTAAGATGTATTAATGGTTAAAATTAGTGGTTAGTATTTTGTGTGTCACGTGCGGCGCACGTGCGACTTTCCATCCATACTAACTGGAGAAATAGACGGAGGGACATAAACTGCATAAAAGTGATATGTTTAGGGATGAAAATTGTAACTTTATCTTGTTTAGGGACGAAAATCGTGCAAGTGACAAAGTATAATGACGAAAAGTGTAATTATCCCCACTCCATGTTATTTTTTTTGCCACATCATCTCAGTGTATCAGCCATATCGGCATTTAACGGCAAACGGTCAGATCGACATAACGTGCACCACACGTGATATTTCCGTTCAAATTGACTGACGGAGTCGACAACAGAACATAAATTATTGAAAAGTGACAAATTTAAGAATATAGTTAAATTTTCCATCCCTCACAGACACACACAAACGTCCTTCCACTACAAATTCTATGTTCACCCAACACCATCTTCACTCACTCTGCAAATCCTTCTCAAGAAGAATGGACATTGTGGTGGTGGGTCCTGAAATTATCACAAATTACCCCTACGAAAAAAGAAAACGACAAAAAGACCCAAATATTTTGGGGTTGATATTAGATGGCTGCATGGTTGCTATAGGGTTCTTCTTGATTGGTGAATCGAGTTAAAATCATGTCTTTTGCGCCGCTTCCAGTGGCGGCGGCATCACGGCTGATGTGGTGATTTACCATTATCGATGCTTGATTGGGCTTGGAGCAGAGGGTGTCTGACATTTTTTATTGTGTTTTTTCTCTGCCTAGGAAGCAAGCTAAGGGAGAGGATTGTTGTTGTAAGAGCACAAGCAAAAAGAGGGTGATGGTGAAAGGGGCTATGAGAAAATGCATTTTGAATTCGCAGTTTAGCGCTGAATAATGTTGAGCAGATTGCATAACCATATATATCATCGGTAACCGGTATTGGAGATATTAATATTAATACATTTCACTAACAGCTTAAACTTTTGATTAAGATAGTGCTGATAGTATCGTTTTAACTGTTAAGGGTCAATCCGGATGTACAAATTTTCGAAAAATAGAAATCACTCGGTAAAATTTGCAGTCACTCAAAATAATGATACTTTTAAGTACACCAAACTTATAAAATAATAAAAACGCCCTTGAACGAGAGAAATTACAGCAAAATCCAACTTATTGATACGCAGAAAGTATAACGCAAAACTCAAAAAGCCAAGAAATCACACCATGTCACACAATGTAATAATAATATTAAAACCAAGGCCAAGTAGCTGGTGTTTTAGTAATCGGGATTGGAGTGGAGGTGAGCCTCGATAGCCTTGAACATAGTCATGGCTTTCTCTTTGCCTTCCTTTATTTTGTCTTCGGTAATCTCATGACCATCTCCCTTCACATTGTAAATGCTTCGGTTCTTGCAGATGCAGCCTCCGTCTTCAGTCGGAACAATCTTAATATGATAAGTGATCGATTCGACGACTCCCATTAAAGCATCTCCTTCAATAATGCTGTAGCTGTGCGTCATATTCTCCGCATCGAGAGCATCAACACGGTGCTTCACGCTCTTAAATTTGCTGCCTTCTCCGAAATGGATGATCTTGACCGTACCAGCACAAGTACCATCTCCCTCCAATATTTCCACATTTTTTATAGCATGTGGCATTATCTTCGGAATGAGCGTGTCTGCATCAAGAACGATGGCCTTAAACATCTTCGAAGCCGGGACCGAAGAAGGAATCTCCATATCGTAAGTGATGGCACCCATATTGTCAAATATTCGAAAATAATTACAAAGTAAATAAACTAGGAAAATTGAAATCAGAGAAAGATTAATTGATGGTGTGAGATATTAGAAGCACAAAGGATGGTATTTATAGTGTTACCAAATATCATGAATTATTGAATATTGACATGTGCTAGCACAGATTTGTTGACCCTAAATCATTTATTCATGTGAAGTTGTTTGTGTACTAAATTATTTAATAATGAAACTACTATAGATTGTTGAATGCATGCCCTAATATAAACATTAGGCATTCCCATATTGACTAGTCAACTTTCTTCTAGAATTTCACTAGCTTGGCGGCTTTCTATTTGTTTATTTCTATTCATCATATTGTGTTAGTATTAGCCTTGTCGTTTGGATTAAGATTCTTTTCGAATTGCGCTATCAAGATAAGGTAGCAAGTCGATAAGCACCTTGCATCTACGATTATTTGGTGATGGATTCGTTGGATTCGAGACATCAGGAGGAGAATTAGGGAACCACTAATCGTCCTCATTTTGTAAGATACAGTAGAATCTCGATAAATTAATAACATCATTTAAATAATATTTTTTTACGGTTCCAACTCGGTAAAAACATATTAAATTATTATTTCGAATTTTGGCTAGAATTTTGGGTTTCAATATTTTTTTTATGAGAGGGGAGGGGATATTTGTTGTCATCTTTAATTATTTCATCAAGAAATCATCTCACATCCTTGTTTTTTTCTTCTCTATAATATTTCTTCATAAAAAAAATAAAAAATAAAAAAATAAAAAAAAGGAGAGAGAGATATACAAAGGGAGAGAGATGAGAGATTAAATATATGGTGAGAGAAACGTGAGATTGGAGAGAGAGAATAAATGAGATTTGTTTTCTTATTAATTTAGGGTGATTATGTCTATATACTAATTATTTTAGTTTGTTTATATTATTTTTTTGGGTCAAAGGACCTATGCCTATATTCATCTAACAACTAGGATCTCTACCTATATAAGTCTAAAATAAGGGGTGTCTAGCAAATTTCCCCTTAAAATTATAGGAGTATAACTATAAATATGCTATATAAATCAAGGGCAAATTACGGCCACCTTCCTAATGTAAGATCAAATTAGGAAACCCCCCCTCTTGTTTGGGTAATTGCAACCACCCCCTTAACTATGTATTGTTTACGAAAAAACACCTCATTCAATATGTAAATTTTTACATTGTGAGGGTGGACGTGTAAGAAAAAACATAATTGAAGGAGTGTTTGTAATTACCCAAACATAAGGGATTTTTTTCTCATAATTTGATCTTATTTTAGGAGGTGACCGTAATTTGCCCTATAAATATATATAAGTTTTATTTATGTTAACTTCTAATTGTATTTTTTCATACAAATATATTCAAATAATATTTTACTATCAATTTGCAATTAATCATTAAATGTGCAAATAACTAGAGAAACAAAAAAAAAATATTTGAAAATTTGTTATTCAAACATGTTTATAACTTAAAGAAACTATAAAAATGGTCCATAAGGTGTTCGGCATGTATACTCAAATATCCGGAACGAAACTTGTCCAAAACACAAAAACATTAAGAAGTTGAAGTTTCTGAACTACATAATTATCATGTCCATTGGAGAATTATTAATGTTCAACACACTCAAGTGTGAAATACATTTATGGAAACATTTTGGCTATGTTTGTTAATGTTTTCAAATTCTTTTCACACTTTCCCCAAAATGAAAATTATCTTTCTACATTATTTTCAAAAACTTTCCCCAAAACAAATTCAAATATTTCTCTCTCTAACAAACATGATTTGACCGCTACAGTGAAAATTGTCTTCACTAAAATACAAAATCAAATCACTTTATCTTTTAAATTCTTCATCCAAAATACATTTTCCCAACACCTTTCAGACATGATTTGACTTGCTACAGTACAAATTATCTTCTCTCAAAACACAAACAAACTTTATTTAATTTTTAAATTCTTCTCCCAAAACATCTTTCTCCAAAATAAAATGGAAATGAAAGCTCAAAAGCTTACCAAACATAGCCTTTGTGATTGGTATTCATAAAATGATAAACTCCAACTTAAGTGATCAAAAGCAAAGTATAATCTAAAAGGGTGTTTGGCTAAGCTCATAAGATGTTAAAATGAGCTTATAAGATGTTTTAGAGCTTATAAGCTCTTTCAAAGTGTTTGGTAAATTTTTAAAAAAATATCTTAATTTTTTTAAAAATAAGCTGTTGGAGACCAAATAAGATCTTTTTAAATAAGTACCCCTACCCCACCTTTTTATTTAAGATCTTATAATGAGTAAAAATAGGAAATAAGCTCATTATCCAAACACTCTAAAAATTAATCATAAAAATAAGATGTAACAGCTTATCAGCTCTAAAAACATCTTATCAGATGTAAGAGTTTATCAGCTGTTTAAAATAAGTTTAGCCAAACACCTTCTAACTTGTAGACCGCATCAAAATTATTTAAACAACAAACAAAATATACGACTAGAATTGGAGGGGTGCGCCAGGCCCGTGCAATAGTGCAACGCATGAGCGACGCGTGAAGGCCCAGGCGGGAAGCTACCTGAGTGGGCCCTCCCCCTAAAAAATGAATTTAATATCGTGTGAGCCGATGGCTCACATATCAGATATTAAACTGATAAGAACAGATACTACACTTGATCTTAGCCAAAAGGCCGAGAAAGGTATGAGCTTTTCATTCGTTGCCCCTCTCATTTTTGCAACACTCCTTCTCATGAGATTTTTGTGTATCCAAACGATGTGGGATAAAATCACACTTTCTTTTTCCTATAGGGACATCATTTCTCTTACACGTTCACCATTACGTTGTCATTTTTTACATATGGGTATTCAATCATCAGTCGGCAAACCGACCGAACGAAAATTCGGTACATGCCGAGTACCAAATCGGTAATTCGGTTAGATATATATTATATGAAATATTAGTATTTAAACTAAATTTAATTAAAAAAAAATTAACGGTATAAAAATTTGGCGTACCAACTGAAAGGATTTTTTCATAGGACAATACAAATTTACCAACTGCAAGGATTTTCTTCATAAGACAATACATAGTTGAGGGGATGGTTGTAACCATGCAAACAAAAGAGTTCTTTTTCGTAATTTGACCTTACATCGCTCAGTAATTTGCCCTATATTATTCGCTGGATTCAAGCCTATTTTATTTTACGCACATACATCGAATGTAGCAACAACATGACAAGCTCATACGAACAAAAACCGTCAACTTAATATATGAACTCTGCAGTTCTCTCTTTCAAAATCAAACCCTTTTCGATTCGTATCTCTCTCTCTCTCTCTCTCTCTCGATATCTTGTTAATACAATAATTGTTACTCATTCGCGTATCAAAAACGGATACGTCATGTATACATACACGTTAGTTTCGCTAAGTCAGTTTTATCGAAAAGCTTTATCATGTACAGGCGATGGAATTAATTTTCTCCCTTTTGCTCGAATGCTCGAATCAGCTAATGTTGTTCTGCCTTTTGCTCGACTCTCGTTTTTGTGCTCGGCCGATTTTTTATTGCATTCTTGTGAGGGTGCAAAACTCTCGGCAGATACAGATTTTGGGAAAATCTTACACAGCTTGTGTCTGTTGTGATTTGAGGTTTGATTTTTCAGACCTGGAGATAATAGCTCTGTTCTTGCCTGTTTTTTGCTCCCGATTATGCCGTCGTTGTCTGAATTAAATCGACAGAGAAAAAAAAAAACACTTTTTTTAGTAATAACAACTTTTAAGTTAGTAACTATTGTACTTTATGTAACAACAACTGAAATTAAAAGCTCATGATACAAACGTTTAAGTTAGTTAAAATCCCGATTAAAATCCTAAAATCCTAGAATTTTTTACGATTTTTTACCACCTTAAATCCTAGTAGAATTTTAGTAATTTTTTTATATTATCAAAAACAAGTGAGGCCAAGGATTGTGCTAGAATTTTTTTATGAAATGTTTATTTATGACGAAACAATTGTGCTAGGAGATGTTTCATATATGTTCATACATAAAATTTTGGATGCTATTTAAACTTACAAGATATGTAAAATCCAACGACGATTTTAAATCCCACTTAGAACCTCGATAAATTAATAACCTCGTGTAAATAATTTTTTTTCCGATCCCGACTCAAGGACAACGTGTTAAAAAATATATCGCTAAATTAATATAATTTGGCTGGTCCCAACTGTATTAATTTATAGAGGTTCTACAACTGCAAATTTAATATCTGAAGGATGCTTAAAAACACTAAAAAAATATTTAAATCCACAAACATAAAAAATAATGGAAACTAATCGTAGGAAATCGATTTACCTGGACTTGATAAAACAGCACGGGGGCGCGGCCGTGGGGCCGAAGTAGCTCTAACGTTTTTTTGGTTCTCTTCCATTACCGCTTTCTTTTTCTCGGCTGCTTCTGTTGACAGAATTAGTAGAGTATTAAATATTAATTTGTTATAATTAATCACGCAAAGTGGCATTTCAGTAAATAAAAATAGAAGTGGTGAAAAATCGAAACCTTTGGATGCATAAAAGCTAGGAGGTGGTGTTTTCGGGGCATACGAGCGAGGAATTCTCGCAACTGATCCTGTAGACTCATCTGCACATTCAAACGTCAAAAGACGGATAATCGAAAACCAATAGCCTCTAATTTTAAAAAATGCAAATCGAAGCGAAAAAATTTGACTCGGCATTGCAAGAATAGTGCATGAATCCCATAACTTATTTTTGTGGAGATGGATTCGAAATCCGCCACTCGAAAAAAAATAAACTTAAAAATAAGAGCTAAGGGATTTGAAATTAATGTAACATAAACCAATTCAGACAAGCTCAATGAATTTGTTAATCCTTCTATCCAAACACAACCTTATAATATGATTACCACCACTTAGTCAAGATGATCAATTAACCCTGGAGGGGAATCTAAATAGAGAAAAAAATGGCAGAAATTCAAGAAAAATAAACCAAAAAATAAGAAAAAAACCCTGGGGAAGAAAAATGATGTGGAGAGAGCCAATCAAATGCCTTCAAAGATTGTAAAGAACTCTTCTCATAAGCATATTGATCAGCTTCTTCTCTCGGTACTCTCACCTTTACCTTTGGGTACACTTATAAATAAATAAATAAATTAAATAAATAAAAAAAACCCCTTTTCAGAAAACAACAAATTGGGGCCCCCAACCCCAAAAAAAAAAAAAAAAAAAAAAAAAAAAAAAAAAAAAAATCTTACTGTTTTCTTGAAGATGCTTCCCAGATTTGAGTTATATTCAGACAGAGCGTTTTTGTAGGTGTTATGAATATTGGAAACTGAAAAACAAGATTAAAAGATGTGAGAGAGTATTTCAACGGTTCAAATGAATGATTCTTCAAACAAGACTGTTTAATAAACCAAAATAATAATAAATAAAAAGAAAAAAGAAAAAAG